CTAGGTGCTAAAATTGGGCATAGAAAACAGTTTCCAGACCCGGGTTCTCTTCTGAGGTCGAGGCTGGGGTGAGACGCTTACCTTGGGAGCAGCAATTAAGGGAAAGCCAAGAAAAACCCTCAGTAGTGATCCAGTGAGAACCGTAGTTCGCCCACTCGGTTCGTTAACAAGAATATCGCACGAGATGTTATTTACCTTGGTTACTGGATTTTTTGAGACCTTCTGATCCGCACCCCGTTCCTGGTCCTACCTTCACCTTGCGGGTGCTGCTGCACATTGCCTAGAATAGGATCGTGATTAAGGAGCATCGGAAGAACTGAGCAGTGTGGGTGTCTAATCTGTTTCCACACTGCAGACAGCTAGTATTCCTATTGCTTCGGATTGTTGGGAAGATCGTCAGCACGTACCTGGTAAACCTCAGTGATTCCTGAGTACATGTTAACGTTGATTATTATTTTAATCATTGCACCAAGCATTCAGATCACGGTGATAATGAATACTGTTTTGGGGACCCATTAGGGTGAGGCCTTGTGCCTTGTTAAATCACAGCTGTTAATATTTCCTTCCTTTTTAGTAAGTTGATTCACCAAGAAGATAGACCTGGCATCTAGGGTCTTCTCGGCCATTAAAGGATCCAGTCACTTAACACTCCCGTTAGGTTTTCACTTGTGATCTTGTAAAACGTTTTATTTAGAGACTTTCAAACCTACGCAGGTATAGAAAGACTAGTATAAGGAACCCACCCCCTCACTGTTAGCAAAACATGGCCGATCTTGTTTCAGTTATATCCGCACCCACTCTTCCCCTCACTGCATTATTTGGGAGAAAATACCAGGCATTTCACTCACAAATATTTTGTTTACATACCTTTTTTTAAACAATAATTATTTATTTTATTTAATTTCTTTATTATTATTATTAAATTTGATGAGAGAGAGAATGAAAGTGAGACAGCAAGCCTCCAGGTCTGACTCTTGAACCAGGGTGGGCCTGTGGGAGTCCAGTGCTCCAACTGCCATGCCACCTGCTGGTCCCACAAATATTTTGTTTACATTTCTAAAAAACGGGATTTTCCAAAAAAGGATAACCACAATACCACTGCCACATCTAAAAAATACCAAGTCTGTGTTCAGATTTCTTTGCTTTATAGATATTTCAGTTTTTATTTGAATCAAGATCCAAGACTTCCATATTGCACTCGTTCGTGTACATGTATATATGTGTGTTTATTTATGTATCTCTTATATTAACTCTCTTTAATTTGTAGGATCCCCTGCCTCTCTGTTTTCCTTGTATATTATTGTTAAATAAACCACCTAGTTTGTTTTATAGTTTTCTATACCTAGATTACATCTCTTAGTGTTATTTAACATGTTCCACTTTCCCCTCTATTTCTTTAAATGGGTATTTAGATCTAGAGCCTTGATCAGATTCAGATTTCATTGTGCTGGTAACAGTGCTTTATAGGGGTGGGTATATGTATTAGATCACACATATTATTTAGTTGTTTCTCTTTTAGTAATGTAGCAACCATTAATGATCATTGCCTGGATCTGTTATTTATTTGTAGGTTGCTAAAATTGTGATAGTTTAATTCTATAATTTCTTCATTGATTAACTAGGATATTTCTCTAAAGAGAAACCTCCCCTCATCAATCATTGCATACACTGGAGGAACAATTCACACAGAAAAGGCATAATAAATGTTTGATTCTCTTCATTTAATTACCTTCAAAGTTGTGAATTTTAATTTTTTGCCCAGCAGTTCTAAATGTCATCTTTTCATTGGATCATCATATCAGTCTTACACTTGTTTTTCTGCAACGGTCTCGTGGAGATTTGTGTATTGCTATGTACTTAGAGCTTTCTGTCACTTGCTGGTTAATGTAACATATGCTATTATTTTCTAGGTTCACCTAGAAATCAGTGATCCAAAGCTTGCTTCACAGGAAGAAGCAGATAGTCCTTCAGACAGTGGACAGGGCAGCTGCGAAACGATTGGGTCCTTGAGTGAAAGAGGTTTGTAGCATTCAGTACTTTTATTTGTAGAATAGAATGTGGAAGCTGGGGTTTTAAGTGGACTGAACTAAGTTAACTAAATTATTACCCTTACTGCTTGTTTTATTATAAAGCAAAATAGCAATGCTTGCACTTTTTTGGAAAATACCCCTTTTATCTCTTATTGGAAGTATAAAATGTATAATAGCTACCATATTGCCTTGTTAAATGCATTCATCCTATAATAAAAGGATTTTTAACACCTGCCAGAAGGGCTAGAACAACTTTATACAGTATAAATACATACAATTACACTTCTCCGTAACAGGGAAAATGTTTTTCAAAATGTATTTTTAGATTTGCTTTGCTACAATCAGTTCTTAATGTTAGTTACATAATTTCATGAGGTGATATGTGACTTGTATAATTGAATATGTGTATTTTTGAGGAGTCGTAGGACTAGGTGGAAAGCCAAATGACTGTATACCTGTAAGAGAAAATAGTGTTTCCCCCAGATTCAGATGAAGAGATATTCGTGAGTAAGAAACTGAGAAGCTGGAAGGCACTACAAGACAGTGACTCTGAAACAGAGGCCACGAAGGGCCCTCCAGAGAAAACGACCTATGACAGCACTGAGGAGGAGAATAAAGAAAACTTATATGCTGGCAAAAATGGAAAAATCAACAGGATTTATAAAACTCTGGCAGACAGTGATGAAAGTGATGTGGAGAAGTCTTTGTATGAGAAAAACCTTGAAATCCAGGTGACACCTTGCTCGGAGCTGACTTTGCAATCTGGACATTCTGTGGGCTTTTCCACTGGCAGAAAGACTCCCCAAAAACATGCACTTGATAAAGAAGGAACTGGAGGAAAAGCAAAAGTAAAATCAAAAAGAAGACTTGAAAAAGAAGAGAGAAAGATGGAAAAAATTAGGCGGTTAAAAAAGAAGGAAACAAAAAATAAGGTACGGTTTAAAGTACAATTTGCCATTTCTCAGGTTAATTAAAACTTTAGAAAAAGTTGCTTTTAGATCTTGGCAGTGTTTCTGCACTCAGAAGATGGTTTTGAATGGACTGTTCACACTAAAATGAGTAGTTTGTGTGATTTAAAACTTACTGATCTTCTCCATTTTGGGTAGGCAGAGGAGGCATCCAAATAAATGGGTTTCTGATTTTTTTCTTGTGAGCACATGGAGTAATTCTTTGCTGCTTCTGATCTGATAAAAACTAACTTTGAAAGGAGGGGTTTTTTGTTTGTTTGTTTTTTGGGTTTTTTTTTTTTTTTTTTTTTTGAGAGGTTTTTGCTATAGGTCGCGCGCGTTTGCCAGAAAGACAGAGAGAGACAGAGAGACAGAAAGCAAGAAATCACCCCCCAGAGGGGATGGCCATGCCGCAATCCCTTCCCCTCCATTCTCCTCTCGGGATCTTGAGCGGGCACACACGCACATGCGCCGGCGTGCGTTTAAACCACCAGGTCCACGACTTGAACCGCGGTCCGCTACATGGGAGTTCAGCAACATAGCCATTATGCTAACTGCTGGTCCCAAGGATTTTTTAAAAAATTATTTTATTTAATTTTATTTATTTTTATTTGACCAAGGAGGGACAGAGTGAGAGAGAGAGAGAGAGTGCAAGTGAGAAAGCAAGCCTCCAGGTCCAGGACTCAAACTGTGTTCGGGCATGTGGGAGTCCAGCGCCCTTAAACACCATGCCACCTGCTGGCCCCTGTCCCAAGGATTTTTAAATGTATCTATCAGTCATAAGTCTTGTTCGCTAACTAGAATAACCATCCTGAAGTGGGTTTCTGCTTTCTTTTTAAGTTTCTTTTTTTTTTTTTTTTTTTTTTTCCCGAGATTAGAGGGGAA